TCCTCCTCCTCCTCCTCCTCCTCCTCCTCCTCCTCCTCCTCCTCCTCTCTGCAAACCCCTCTCCCTGCCAGCTCTGATGACGTTCCCTAGTTGGGTCATGAAACGTCTGCAAGGAAAACCCCCCAGCTCAGAGAGCACCAAGGACCCCACAGTCGTCGTCGTCGTCGTCGTCGTCGTCGTCCTCCTCCTCCTCCTCCTCCTCCTCCTCCTCCTCCTCCTCTCCATAAACCCCACTCCCTTCTAGCACTGATGTTTCCTAGTTGGGTCACGAAACGTCTGTAAGAAATCCCCCCAGCTCCGAGAGCACCAAGGACCCGACAGTCCTCCTCCTCCTCTTCTCTGCAAACCCCTCTCCCTTCTACCCCTGATGACGTCCCCTAGTCTGGTCACGAAACGTCTTGCCAGGAAACCACCCCCCCCCTCCCCAGCTCCCAGAGCACCAAGGCCCCCACCCCTTGCCCCTGGCAGAACCCCTTCCGAATCCCGCTCCTCGCCGGGGTCCCACGACTCACAGCTCCCGGGACGAAATCCCTGCCCAGCTTGTCCAGGCGGTGCTTGGCGCTTTCGGCCCGCTCGCCCACCAGGGTGATGGAGATGCTGCTGTAGGTGCCGGCTAGGATCATGTCGCCGGTGGCCACGGAGACTTTGTACATCGCCATTTGGGGAGCCGGGAGAGAGATAGAGAGAGAACTCAGAACGCAGCCAGGGAAGGAAGGATTCTGGCGAGCCAGTGCCTCGCACGGGCTGGGACATGTAGACCAGCTCCTCCCAGGTGTGCCACACACCTGCCGTACACAAATTAGCCACGTCGCCCAGGCCTTGGGCAGGAAATGGGGCCGGTCCCTGGTTTTGAAGTGGCCAAGTTCTGAATTGGCTGGTTTGGTTTCAAAAGGAAAACCCATGCGCTCTTGAGTTACAAAACCACATCGGTTAGTATTTGTCCGTTTGTTTATCTATACCAGGGGTAGGCAACCTTGACCTTGGAGGTCATCTAGTCCAACCCCCTGCTCAGGCAGGAAACTATACCATTTCAGACAAATATCATGTCCTGCCCCCTAGTCCTTCAACCGTGCTTCTTCCTATATTTTAATCTCCAGGCCTTTAATCATCTTAGTTCAGGGGTCTTCAAACTTGGCCCTTTGATGACTTGTGGACCTCAATTCCCAGAATTCCTCAGCCAGCATGAAGGAACTATGACACTTTTATGACTGGTGGACTTCAATTCCCAGAATTCCTCAGCCAGCGTGAGGGAACTATGACCCTTTGATGACTTGTGGACTTCAATTCCCAGAATTCCTCAGCCAGCGTGAGGGAACTATGACACTTTTATGACTGGTGGACTTCAACTCCCAGAATTCCTCAGCCAGCGTGAGGGAACTATGACACTTTTATGACTGGTGGACTTCAACTCCCAGAATTCCTCAGCCAGGCATACTGGCTGAGGAATTCTGGGAGTTGAAGTCCACCAGTCATACAAGGGCCAAGTTTGAAGACCCCTGTCTTCTCTGCACTTTTTCCAAAGTCTCTGAAATTTCCAGAGTTTTGAGAGTGAGTTTTCTCCCAGAAGCCCTGCCTGGGTCCCCCCCCCCCATCAATCTGGCCTCTTGGACTGATCCAATCTCAACACTCCCCCCCTCATCCCTATGGATTTGTACCCCCCCCCAAAAGAGAAATTCCTAGCAGAAACCGCAGAGGGATGCGCAGCAATGGCGCCACCTAAACACCGCAGAGGGTAAAGCCAAGCGCCCTCCAGGTGCTTTTGCAAAATCTTTTCCAGACTTTGACCTAAATAAATTTTTTTAATTGTCAACCTTCCTTTTTATTCCCTCCTCCCCCCCCCCCTGGGGAGGATTTTCATCCTGTGATGGATAGTTTGCAGCTTTTAAATTAAAAATAAAATACATATTCGCCCTCTCCTTCAAACCCAAAATACAGGGTGCAGATGGCTTGTAATTAATATTTTTTTGAGTGGTTTCATGGATGCATCCGTGTTTTTCTCCCGAGGTCGATCACAGTCTCCCTCCGGGACACCCTTTCATCCTCCTGGAGATTTCCTGTGTGGATCCCATCCAATCCCTAACCAGTTCTGGCTCTACTTAGCTGCCAATACTTACCCAGTTGGTTTTGCCTCCTACTGACAATAATTCATATATTTTTTTTAAAGAATTTCTGAACGCCCAATTCAGTCCTGGTTGAGTTTTAACCGGCACACCGAAGAAAGAAAGCATACAGTTTTAGATCTAAGACACACTTTTATTTCAAATATATATATAGAGGAAGTCAAAAAGAAAAAGAAAGAAAGAAAGAAAGAAAGAAAGAAGGAAGGAAGGAAGGAAGGAAAGGAAGGAAGGAAGGAAGGAAGGAAGGAAGGAAGGAAAAGAAAGGAAAGAAAGAAAAAATAAGAGAAAGAAGGAAAGGAAAAAGGAATGAATGAATGAATGAATGAATGAATGAATGAAGGAAGGAAGGAAGGAAGGAAGGAAGGAGGATGGAAAGAAAAAGAGACCATTTTTAAGCTGCCCTTAATTACAAAAAAACGGTGTAATTCTTTTCTCGCAACGGTGAAATCCCACATTCAAGTTGCGACGTAGGTGCTTCATTTCGAAAACGTTGTGCAAAACAGGCACCCAATTGTCAAAAGTTGCGGGCCGTTAACGCAACGCCACACGGCTTTAAGTAATTGGACGAGCTTAAAAAAAATTACACTTCCAGGCCGGGTGGCTGACTGAGAATCTGGCCAACACAATGTCAGTGTGTCGTCCACAAACAACAATACACACAAATGTTTTGTCTTTGAAGCGTGAGGCTGGAACCAGGAAGAGTCGATTCTTCGTCTTGACGTGACTCGGACTCTGAAGCCGGACTAAAAGCACAAGTAGATGTTCTCCTGCTTGTCGCCAAGTCCCATCATCCTTGGCCAGCTTAGGTTCGAGTCCTCGACTTACGAGTCCCAAATTCCTGTTGTTAAGTGAGATCTTTGTTGAGTGAATTTGGCTCACCCGTTTTACGACCTTTCTACGATCCGGTTTGTTAAGAGAATCACTGCAGTTGATAAGTTAGTAACCTGGTTGTTGTGTGAAACGGGCTTCCCCGCTGACTTTGCACGTCAAAACTGGGATCTTGGGACACAGCGACGGTCGTAAGTATGAGTCGGTGGCCAAGCAGAGCTGAAGTTGGATCAGGTGACCAAGGAGAATGCTGCAAAGGTTATAAAGCGTGGGAGTTGAATTCTGGGAGTTGAAGTCCCCAAGTCTTAAAGTGACTGAGGAATTCTGGGAGTTGGAAGTCCCCAAGTCTTAAAGTGACTGAGGAATTCTGGGAGTTGAAGTCCCCAAGTCTTAAAGTGACTGAGGAATTCTGGGAGTTGAAGTCCCCAACTCCTAAGAGTAGGACCAGGGGTGACATGATAACAGTCTTTCAACATTTGAGGGGTTGCCACAAAAAAGAGGTCAACTTATTCTCCAAAGCACCTGAAGGCAGGACAAGAAACAACGGAGGGAATCTCATCAAGGAGAGAAGCAACCTGGAACTAAGGAGAAACTTCCTGACAGTGAGGACAATTAACCAGTGGAACGGCTTGCCACCAGAAGTTGTGGGTGCTCCATCCCTGGAGGTCAAGAAGAGACTGGACAGCTACAGCATAGGGAGTCCTGCTGGAGCCGGGGGTTGGACTAGAGGACCTCCAAGGTCTCTTCCAACTCTGTCATTCCCGAAAGGATCCTGCTGGATGGGCCAATCAGGTGAGGCTAGATGGAGACACTGTTCTCCACGCAGGTGGGGTTGAGGTAATCGTAGGGGAGAGCCAGCGCCTGGTTCCGCTGGTTGATCTGCTCGGAAATGTCCGCCAGGCGTGTCTGAAAAGCCTCCATGAGCCTCTTGGGCTCCTCTTCCACAAAATGGCGGTCTGGGTAGAAGCCCAGAGTTCTCTGGAAGGGAGGGAAGCGGAGAAACGCGTCAGCAGCACAACACACGCATTTCCTAGCCGAAAACTAGATTAATGTCTCTTGATCTACGGATGAGTAAAAAAGGGATTCCAGATGAGAGACTCTTAAAAAGGGTCTCTTTCTCTTTCTTTCCATCCTCCTTCCTTCCTTCTTTCCTTTTCCTCCCTCTTTCCTTCTTCTCATTCCCATCACCTTTCTTGTCTATTTTCCTTTAGTCTATTTTCCTTCCTTCCTTCCTTCC